GGACAGAGAACAGCCCCAAAGCCATTGTGGGAGGCTGAGCTACCCTCACCATCACTCCCGGGGGTGGGGGTGGTGGTGGTGGCTGGGGGGGGCTGCCGGACTCAAACCTCAGGCCTGGGGCTCCAAGGGCTGTGCCAGCAGGTCTCCTTTGCCACAGAGAGGGCTGGCTGGCGCCCAGGGTGGAGGTCACGTGGTGCTGAAAGGGAGCCAGGCTGGTTAAATATTGTGGGAACACTGGTTGGCACCCTGTGCCTCCTCCCTGGGGTGTGTGGTCCCCCAAAGCACCACGCCCTCACAGTGACTCCCTGTGCCCCACCTCCGGGATTTCAGAAAGCCCATGGCAGGGCCTTGCCTGCAGGGGGCAGGAGGTGGCCTTGAACCTGCAGCCTTTGGGTCAGAAGCTCAGCTCCTCCTCCAGCCCTCACGCCCTCAGGGACTGCCTTAGAAGGCAGGCCCCCAGGAGCTCCACCCCCACCCCCACCCCCACCGCGTCCGCACCCTGGGCTCATTTCAGCCCCGGTTTCTGCGGGCTTTGAGGACAAGTGAGCACGGGCCCGTCCTGCACTCACATCTAGCGCCCGGCCATGCCCGCGCAGCGTCCGTGGCCCGCGCGAATCAGAACTCTCCACTTTTGGTGAACCCGTCACGAGGCGCCGAAAGGGTGGTGTTTAGCGGCCATGTGACCATGACCGTGCTGGCTGGGGCCCAGGGGTTTGCAGGCGGCCAAGGCTGTGGGCCCCTCCGCCCTAGCGCGGGGCGGGGTGCTCACCTGGCACGTGGCAGGTGGGGACGCTCGCATGCACCCCGACCCCAGGTCCACCCCCCGCAGCGCCCACCTTGTCCAGAAAGCTGCTTCCCAGGCGCCGCGGCGACACCAGCGTGGGCAGGGAGGGGCGAGCCAAGGGCAGGGCCAAGCTACGACTGAGGCCAGGGACTGTGGTGACCTGGATGGAGGGAGGGAGGGCGGGGCAGCGTGAACCTTGGCCTCTGAGAACTGCAGGGTGGGGGGGAACAACAGGAGGCCCGCCCCTAAGGGGCGGACGCCAGTGAAGCCTCTTTAAAAGAGTGTCCCTTCCCCTCCCTCCCTGGCTGGCCTGCAGTCACCTCACCGCCGCAGAAAGCCCAGTGCCTGCCAAGAAGAGTGTTCTGGAGCAGTGGCCCCAGGAATTAACCCTGAACCCCGCCGTCAAGGCCGGAGATCGCCCACAGTTGGGAATTTCAGGTTTTCCCCAGGATCGTTTCTCTGGAGAGAAATTGTTGGCAGGAAGGATTTCTGGGATCAGTGTGAGATACAATGAAGAAGGGCCCTTCCCCACCTGCCTTCTGGGGACCTTGGGCATCAGCTTGCTTGCTGGGAGCCCCGAGGACTTCGTGATGAAGAAACAGAGATTACAGCCTTCCGCCTGGATTAGAACTGAGGCTAAAGACAATCCCAATCTCTCAGATGCAGCCAAAGCCCTGATGTGACGTTCTGGGCTCCGATTCCCCAAGGTCGACAGTTCGAAACCACCAGCCACTCCAAGGGAGAAAAACAAGACTTTCTATTCCTGTAAAAACGGACGGTCTCAGAAACCCACAGGGGCAGTTCTACCCTGTCCTATAGGGTCCGAGATGGGTTAACATCCACTCAGTGGCAGCGACTCGCGAGAAGACACAATAGGGCTCACTCACCGAGAGAAATGAAGGCAAACCAAGGCTCCTGGAAGCCTCAGCCCACGGGACTAACAGACCCAGGAATCACAGCCACCTCTAACCAGATGCCAGAAGCACTAGATGGTGCCCCCCTGTCACCAGCGACAGATTAGAAGGTCACGTTCTAGCTTAAGGACAGACACTTAGAACTCAACTCAGATTCCTGGACAAGGCCAGGCTCACAGGGCTGGCCGACGGGAGACTTCTGCCCAAAGATGCCGTTTCACCTGGACCTGAAGCCACTCTCAGAGGTCCATGGTCAGACTGGATGATAAAGTAAATGCTGTCCCTCGTGAGCCGTCGTTCCTTTAGACAGCGTGAGGCCAAAGGTTGACCAGGAGCAGGGATAGAAGACAGGGAGGGCAGGGAAGATAGATCCATGGGGAAATGGGAATGCCGATAAAGTGTGTGGTGTGTGACCAATGTCACCAGACTGTGTGTGTAAACATCGCTGAATCAGAACCTAATTCCCTGGGTAAATTTTCATGTGAAAACAAAACAAAATTAAAAAAGAAACAAAGATCCTCACAGCGGGCCTCAAGGGTGGCATCGTGATCAATGGAGAGAAGGTTGAAGGTGTCAAGGACTTCCTCTCGCTTGGATCCACAATCAACGCT